CAGAGGGTAGTCAGATCACTGGGCTTGCTGAGAGAAGAAAAGCACCTCTCTGCTTGAAAGAAGAGAATAACTCAGGTATAACTACCAAAGGAGGAATGCCCAGTGACTGTACTAGAAACAGAATTAGGCTGAATGATACTCAAAATGCATACTAAATGGTGTTAAAAAAATTAAAATTTAAATTTCTGATCCCCCTTGTGTCCCCTCTACCTACCCACAATATTCTTACCAACTCTTTCTGGTCTCCAGATTTGCAAGCAACATAAGCAGCATCTTTCTGATATGATGTATTTATATTTACATGGTACATTTTAAAGCAATAGCTACACTGATCATACATATTAGAAACAATAAAAAAGAAGTTAAGAACTAAAATGTACATCATACACTTGTATATATATTTTTTACACAGAGGTAAAAAGGCTTATAAAAAAAATCAATACAACAGGGTTTTAACTTTTAGTATATAGATACATAATGATGGAGGCTTCAGGCACTTTAATTTGTTAATGTGAGCAATAGCTTGGAAAAAAAAAAAAATCTTTTCACAACAGGAAGAAAAAAATCCCCCAAAAAACTTTTGGTTAATGTTTTGTTACCACAGATATAAAAATAAAATCTGAATAATTTCTCTCAAATGATTGATGTCAGTATTGCAAAGCTGACTGGGAAAACACTACACACTGTTCAGCTGCAGTGTGGAGATAATTGAGAAATATTTACAAAAAAACCCCCAACCATTTCTATCATTGTGCCCTTGCGCCACTGCCTTCACAAACCAAAGAACATGCGTGGAAGGTCTACAAGTATTACAAAAAAAACAAGAGGTGTGGGTAAGAAAATATTTTAAAAAGAGGACATACATAAAGGCTTGGAGTATGTCTACTTTAGTAAAATAAATAGGGGCACTTAGAGACTTGACAAAAAACTGTAAGATCTCTTCGTAGTGTTGTGCTTTGTAGAGGCAAGACCTTACAGATGTTTGCTTACATGAAACAACTTGCAAAAAAAGGTTGTTTCATCACATCTTTTGAGTCTGGCTTGATTAACTAGACACCATGGAAAGATTTGTCTTTTGCTATCAGGCACAAAGTATTTGTATTTTGTTCAGTGAACCCAGACACATTACCAAGAACTAAACTCCATCCCTTTCCATCATCATTCATGTTTTCCATCCTACAACCAGCAACTGCTACAAATTAAACTCTACTGAACTCTATAGTATATAAGCACATTGCATACTTAACTGATGGTTTACTAAAAGCTGTGATTAACTCAGGGGAACTGCAGGGCCATTCCAACAAGAGTGGCAAGCATTTACTTCTATTTGGTAAAAGAAAAAAGAAAAAAAATTCTCTTTTAAGACTGATGTCAATGTGCAATAAGAGGGAGGGAAAGGGCATGCACTCACTGGCAATTTACTGCAGAAAGAAATTATGGCAGGAACAGCAGTGCCAGCTTTGACAAGCCAATCCCTAGCTGCCTCAAAATATTCGGATTGTACTATGCTAGTTATAGCTAACTGCTCTAAATCATTTTTTAATAAAAATTATTTGGCTATTCCTTGTAATATATTAGAAAAATACTCTTTCCAGCTAATTACAAGCCTTGTACAGAAGACATGATATTTAAGAAAACCAAAAAACAATTAAAGAGTTCTTTTCCTGATGTACACATTATATAACCACACACATTCACTTGATAAAGCTGGGTGGGATGAGATGGGCTGTGAATAGGAGACACTTTGACCCTGATCCCACAAAGACTTATTCATGTGCTTAATTTTACATGCGTGTAAGTGCTATTGAAGTCACTGGAACTACTCACATGCATAAAGTTGGCATATGCATAAGTGACTGGAGGATCAGGGCCTTTGAAAATGTGAATGGCCGTTCCAGTTAGAATTTTGATTTTTAAATACATTTTACTAAGAATTATTTTAACATGTGGATCCCTTTGTGAATATAAAGTTCTCATGCTCATGCATTATACAGAACAAATATTTAATTTTTTTTTTCTGTATAATCCACAACCTATTCTGTGTTTCCCCAAATCACTATGGATTATACTACCACTATTGTAGTAGCAACGGCTATCTAGTCAGTAATTCCTTACATAACAACAATTAGCATAATCTTACTAAACTGGAATCTTAGTGTTTTATTCTCAAATAAAATAACCCCAACATTACACGATAATGAAGTGTTCCCTTCCACTGGATAGAATTCCAAAACTAAAGTTTTATTTTCAAAGTTATTTAGAGGAAAAAAAGTCTAATGTAAATTTAATTTCAAGTATTGGTCTGAAATTAATGCAGTTTGGAGAAGACTCAGATTCTTGATGGCTAAGTATATACGGGAAATGAGCCTTAATTTCAGTTACATTTAAATGTAACATCAGAAATAATTTAAGATGTTTGCCAAAAGAAATGATGATGGACTCTAAAGAGAAATTGCAGCTTACATGGCTATTTTGGCTTTAAAAACAGTGACAGCAATACTGTATTGTGGTACAAGTTTGTTACTAGCACACCTTCTATACAACAATAGCTGACTTGCAGGTTAAAACATCTTCTGAACGGGATTTATTCCATTACACTATTTCTGAAAGTGCCCAAACTTGCTAGGTATCAATGGTACTGCTCAAGACAAGCAGAGGCAAGACAGATTCAACCTAGAGATGTTCTCTAATCCACCACCATTAACAGTTCAACATCTCAAAAGCCTTTTAACTGAAAAAATATAAACATGTACAAGACAGTCTGTTTGATTACAGATTAATATTACAAGAGTCTATGCTGTAGGTTAGTTTGTTAGAACACTGGAGCAATCAATGCACAGTGGCCCCTGAAGACCAAAGGTAAGCAATCCAACTGTTTTCTGAACTGTTCGGCACACTGGCTGCATCAAAAAAAGCCCTCAAAAAACAAAAACAATTTGAATGCTCCAAACCAATGTGCTCCTTAACTACAGGAAAAACATAACATATTTTCAACTTGTCTGTAGTCATCCAGCTGCTTTGTGTTTCCCACCACAGCAACTGCACATAACCCCACAGTGATAACAAGCCTGAAGAGGAAAGTAACAGCACATACATGGGGCAATGAAGGACAAGGCGATAAGGGCCATCCACCGGAGGCAAAACATATCATCACTGGTGTCACATGAACAAGGGTCTGTATAGTCTCCTTCAGGATCAGACATACAGTGATAGAGCATACTGTCTGCACACCACATACAGCTGACACGACGGATGCAGCTTCTGCCACGGTCGGGAGCATCTTGACACTGACCCCGTCTGTTTTCCTCGTGATTGAACATGTCCCTGCAGTATATGCATCGTGACCTCTCCCCATCTTCCTTCCGTCGTGATTTGACTTTTACCGGTTGAGTCTTTATCACAGTACTCTTTATGTCTTCACCCAGGTCAAATTCTGAGTTGTCCACGTAAGGGTAAGTGTATTCATGTTTTGAGGCATCACTTTTGGCAAAACGTACGTACGAGTCCACGTCATCTGTATCAAAGTTCTTCCCTCGTGTTGGAGCATGGCGATAGTCCTCATAACCAGTCATCCAAATCTTTTCTCGAGGATTAATGCGTACAATCTCCTCATCATCATCTGGAAAGCTGACATGTCGATAGGATCTTGATATTGACTGCTAGGAGAAACACAGCAAAACAGTTATTTTTCTATCAATAATTAGCAGCAATGTTCAACATTTTTCATCAAATATAACCAGAACATCTCTCTTACATTCAAAAAAAAAAAAAGCTTTAAAAAAAACAAAACAAAAAAACCCCACAACATCTCCCCAGAAAAACAACCCAAAGTATCTTCAACATTTTTTTCCCCAATGTCATTTGGGGACATCACCCAGGCTGAAGATTAGGGTGAACTTTCTGACTATGGGGAGGTCAAGAATTGGAACAGGCTACCTAGAGAAACTGGCAACTCTATCCTTGGAATCTTTTAAAAGCAGGTCAGATAGACACTTGGCTGGGATGGTTTATTTAGTCAGGGATGAACCTGTCTTGAACAGAGGACTGAACTAGATGACCTTGGGAGGTCATTTGTAGCTTTACTTTCTTATAATCCTATGCTGAAAATAATACATGTTTCTACTTTTTTGTGTTTCACTAAGTTTTGATGATGTAGCTTATGAAGCCAGTTTTACTTTGTAGTATACTCCCCTTCCTGGTAAGGGCTGTGACTACGCCACGAAAGAAAGTAGTTTCCGGACTCTATTCAATCTACCTGCAAGGAAAGACCAGGTACACTCCCTACTTACCATACCCATGTGTCCAAGAGCACATGAGAAATTATGCACCTTACGCTGAAAGCCTGTTTACTAGCACAGTGCTGCAATATTCTGTTGCAGACTCTAGAAGTGAACCTTTAACTCTAAAGAGTTTAATGGAAAACTTAAAAAAAAATTAATGGGGGAACTCCCCCCTTCTCTTTTTGACATATTATCTAACAATCCCTTTAGCCAGCAATTAAAGAACCTCACTTGTTCTAGGTGGTAGTGGTCAGAGCTATACGGGTCATGGATGTGACCGCGAGTGCGAATTCTACGATGCTCGCAGGATGTAGGGGAGGCTAATGTCCGTACAGGCTGTTCCCTCTTTTGAGAAGAATTAGATGAGCTGTCTGTAGCATTCTAGTTTGAAGAGAGAGGGGGAAGGAGACAAAAAAAAAATACAGGAGTTAGCTCATACATCCATATATTACTGCAAAACAAACCAGGTTATATTTAGCCACCCATTGCTTTTGCACACACCTGCACACAGCAGTAGACGGCATTATAAAGTTTCTCATAAATCCTTGAACAAGGCAGGTGGATCAGTGCCCAACAAGAGTTGCTGGTGCA